AGTTTTGATGTTTCCAACTTCCAGTGTGATACATGTGAATTGGCTAAGAGTCATCGCGTTCTATTCCCCTTAAGTACAAATAAAAGTTTGGTTCTCTTCTCCCTTATTCATTCTGATGTTTGAGGGCCTGCTCAAATTGCTACTCTGGCTGGAGCTCGATGGTTTGTCACTTTCATTGATGATAGCACCAGAATGACCTGGGTTTACCTTCTCAAAACCAAATGGGAAGTCAGTTGAATGTTTCAATAGTTCCATAAAATAGTGGCGACTCAGTTTCATGCCCAAATACAGGTTCTCCGTTCTGACAATGGCGAAGAATTTCTTAATCATGATCTCAAACAATTCTTACAGGATCATGGTATCATACATCAACGCTCATGTACATATACTCTCCAACAAAATGGGGTGGCTGAGCGAAAGAACCGACATTTATTGGAAGTCGTTCGTGCATTTTTATTTGGTGCCAACATGCCTCACTCTTTTTGGGGCGAGGCCGTCCTCTTTGCAGCTTACCTTATAAATAGGATTCCCTCTAGTGTCTAGAATTTCCAAACTCCTCTTCAAACACTTCACCACCATCTCCAAATACCTCCCACCCTAAACCTTGAACCACGAATTTTCGGCTGTGTAGTATTCGTATACTTACATGATCACCAATGCAACAAATTGGATCCCCGTGCAGAAAAATGTGTTTTCATTGGCTATGCCCCTCATTAGAAAGGTTATCGATGTTATCACCTTCCAAGTCAAAAGGTATACACCTCCATAGATGTAGTGTTCCGGGAACACGACATATATTTTTCAAAAGCGCAGAAGGAGAATCTACAGCCAAACACCCAGACTTTTCTGGACTTTTTCACAATGGAAAAGATTCAGCATCAAAGCAACCGGTCACCCCTCCAAAACGACCAGTCGCCCCCTTTTATTCCTTCACATGTGGTGCCACTGTGTCCAAACGACCAGTCACTTTGTCTTATTTTGCCGAACATTGAGCCTATGCCGTCAGTGGAAAACGACCAGTCAACTCCACGCCTCCAAAATCATAAGGAGGAAGTTGAATTGTTTTCTGAGATTTTGCTCGCTCCATACCTGCCTTCAGCTCTAGTACCACACTAATCACCTTCTGAGGAAGCCATTCATGTAACATCTCCCCCTGAAACTCATAACGCCAATGAAATATATCATGATGATTTGATTTCAGAAAGTATAAAGGATACAGATACCCCTATATATCAGTTTCCAGAAATGAAGAACCATGGTAAACCTCGAATACAGTATAAAGCATATTTTAAAGCCAAAGGAAATACCCCATCAATAATTATATATCTCTAAGCAGATTAGCAAAGTCATAATAATTATATATCAATAATTATATTTTTTGCTATATTTGAAAGTTTTTATAAAAACTGACATTTATGAAAAGAGAGGCAAAATTTTGGCTATTTTTGATAAAAATTCAGTTTTGTTTCTCTTTGCAAGCACTACTGTGACAAGAGTTTTACTTGTAGGCATCAGGGTTGCCCCAAATGGTACTTCTCAAAAACCTTGACCAAACCAAAGGGCCATTTCTCGATTTATGCGTGTCTTTCATATCATTCCAATTTTATCGAATCTTTACTTTGCACTAGTAAATTTTCATAAATTTTTATTAGTAAAAAAAAGATTGAAATTCGCCAAATTGAAGAAAAAAGATACTACAGACCAAATTTGTAAAGACCAGCAACTGATTTTTGCTTTATTTATTGAGAATAAAATCAAATACAAACATTACAATTTATCATAGCCTTAGGTGCAAGCCAACGCAGCTCTGGCTTGATACACAAGAAAATGAAAATGAAAAATGAAAGTCACACCAATATAATGACAGAGAAAGCACATGCAGTATATGTTCATTTAAGGTTTTAGTTGTAGGCATCTGGGTTGGCCACAAGGTAGTTCTCAATAAGCTTGAACAGACCAGTCGCCTTCTCTTTGCCAGCCTTCACATCCTCTTCCTTGATCTCAACATCACCTGTGGTGTGGTAGTTGCTGGTGCTCTTTATGATGGAACCTCCATCAGCAGATGCCACCAACTTAATCTCATAACTGATTTTCTCGACCTTGTCTGAAAGAGCATCTCCTTCAACCAAACTGTAGCTGTACGCAAAGTTATCTTTGTCAAGCCCATCGATCCGGTGCTTCACATAGCTGTAATGACTTCCTGTAAAATGAGGATTATAATTAGAAATTAAGAGATTAATGCTTTTAAGATTTATGTTATTAATTAAACAAACGAGTTAAACTTAGAAGAGGCAATGGCAGAAACCAACCTTCACCAAAGCTAATCTTCTTGATGGTTCCAACACCTCCATCTCCTTCAACAATTTCAGCACTTTTCACTGATTGGGGTGCAATCTTGGGGATGAGGGTGTCAGATTCAAGAACAAGGGCTTTGAACAATCTTGGTGGGGGGATGACAGAGGTGGACTCGTCTGTGTATGTGAAGACACCCATGATGATGATTTTAGAGCTTAGAAAATGATCAAAGAAAGAATGGAAGTGTGAAAGGATTAGATGATTGGCAGGGATGATATTTGATGCTGGAAAATGTGAGAACTGGAGGTGCTATTTATAGATTGAGGCTGTGTGAAATGTCAGCTGTATATCAAAGACTTTAGACTTTGAAAATGAAAGTGAAAAGGACTTTAGATTTTTCAATTGAATGAATAAGGATATTATTGAGTCCGCAGTCAGCAGTCAACAGACTCAGCAGCACACCAGTTGTGTTGTAATATTATGATCATCAAAAAGGGCAAGCATACGTCCAATATGATACTACTAGCCAATCAGAATGGACTGTGTACGTAGACATGTGTTTTAGAACATTCTATTAGAAAATTAATTAGCACATCAGCTGGTTGTAATAAGTCGGAATTTTTAAAATCAACTTGTAGAGGTGGCTTTCTTTGACTAAAATATTTACATGGGAAACAACCACTGAAAACTTGTCCAAACAACTTTATATCCATTGGGGTCACTTTACACAATAGACACTTCACCCTTAACCTATAAATACTCCCTCTGGTGCTCACATTTCCTCACACCAATATCAATCATTCTCTTTTAGCTTCCTCCACATTCATTCTTTCTTTGATCATTTTCTAAGCTCTTAAATTATCATCATCATGGGTGTCTTCACATACGAAACCGAGTTCACCTCTGTCATTGCTCCACCTAGGTTGTTCAAAGCCCGTGTTCTAGATGCTGACAACCTCGTCCCAAAGATTGCTCCACAAGCAGTTAAAAGTGCTGAAATTGTTGAAGGAGATGGAGGTGTTGGAACCATCAAGAAGACTAGCTTCGGTGAAGGTTAGTTTACTTTCCACCAATCTCTCTCTCTCTCTACTAACTTGTTTTTCTAGTTAACATGTTTCTTAAAAGCAGCATTGTCTCAATTTCTATAAAAATTGACATTGACCATCCTCAAATTTTCAAATTACAGGAAGTGAATACAGCTATGTGAAGCACCAGGTTGATGCGCTTGACAAAGATAACTTTGTGTACAGCTACAGTTTGATTGAAGGAGATGCTCTTTCAGACAAAATTGAGAAAATCTCTTATGAGATTAAGTTGGTGGCATCTGCAGATGGAGGTTCCATCATAAAAAACACCAGCAACTACCACACCAAGGGAGATGTTGAGATCAAGGAAGAGCATGTTAAGGCTGGAAAAGAAAGGGCCCATGCTTTGTTCAAGGTTATCGAGACCTATCTTGTGGCCAACCCTGATGCCTACAACTAAACATGTTTGGACAACAATCTTCATCTGTCGTCCCTTTTCCTGTTTAGTCAATGGTGTGGTTTTAAAGAGTAATGTACTTGTATTTGATTTCAATTTTTCAATAAAGAAAATTTGGACACAATTAATTTGATTTTCTGTGAAAATATATGTGCACAATGAAACTATTGGTCTAATCAAATACAAATCAAACTGTCTGCTGCATTTAGTACACTAAGTTTGTTAATTCCAACATTTATATGATTCGTTCAACATTTAAACAAATTAACGGTGACTAGTTCGGTTGACATTAGAAAGCAATACTTCAAATATGGTTCAAAGTGCAGAACCGCAATTCACTTGTATCTTTGAAAGTGGACTTTATGGATTTGGTATGTGTGTTGCAAGAATCACTTATCAGACTTTGATTATGTCACATGTCCGTTGGGAATGGAAATATTCTCAACACATCAGAACGTGTCCAGTTTAGGCCAATTGATTCAGCAGTAATATGCTATGTCATTACTTCAGTCCGATAACAAATTGTGTAAGAATGTTCCTACCACAGTGCTAAGTAGCTGAACAGAACAAAGCAGCACGAGCAGCCCGGTACAAGTTTTCCTCATAGACTTTGATGATCCAACATAAATATTTTAGCTGAAATTGCTCTCCCAGTAAAAGTATTCAGCTCAGTTCAGCTCAACACAGTAGGAAATGCGATTCAATCCATCACGGACTCAAAGACTTTAAAGTCTAACCATTTTTCATCTCCGAATGGATATAAAAGACACCGGATAGCAGACTACAAATTTGGCCTTAATCTTCTGCCTAATGCAGGCATGCCATTGCTCAAAAGAAAAACTCTGCAGCATTCATTCTCATTTATTTTTAAAGCAATCCTACAGTCCTACTTGATTAATTTGATCTCCCAGGGTATGAATTCCAAATGGCATAAAAGAAAACAGAGTAAATTTGAGTTAAAATAGGGCATGCTTGCTTTGGTAACTCATTTTGCAATAATGTTATAGACAAAACTTGCAAATACAATAAAAATATAAAATGATATTCATTTTATTTATTAGAGTATGAAAAAAAATTGAGCATTCACACTTTGATATAGCAAAAGGCCAGACACAACAAGGAAAGAAAAGAAAAAGAATAACAACATCATTGAATGATGATGACTCTGGAAGTAGGAACCAAAGACTCTCTTTAACATGCTACATTATCACATGAAGAACATTTTAGTTGTAGGCATCTGGGTTGGCCACAAGGTGGTTTTCAATAAGCTTGAACAAACCAGAGGCTCTCTCTTTGCCAGCCTTAACATGCTCTTCCTTGATATCAACATCTCCCTTTGTGTGGTAGTTGCTGGTGTTCTTTATGATGGAACCACCATCAGCAGATGCCACCAACTTAATCTCATAACAGACTTTCTCAATGGTTTCAGAGATAGCATCTCCTTCAATCAAACTGTAGCTGTAGACAAAGTTTTCTTTGTCAATGCTGTCAATCTGATGCTTCACATAGCTGTATTGGCTTCCTTCACCAAGGGTAATCTTCTTGATGGTTCCTACCCCTCCATCTCCTTGAACAACTTCTGAGCTTTTGATTGCTTGTGGGGCAATCTTCGGGATGAGGCTGTCGGCATCAAGAACAAAGGCCTTGAACAATCTTGGTGGTGGGATGACAGAGGTGAACTCAGTTTCATAAGTGAACACACCCATGATTATGATGATGATATAAGTGTTGGAAAATTGGCTCGCATAAAGGATACTAAATCTTGGACCAGCGACCGGTCGCACGACATTTGCGACCGGTCGTTTTCAGGCAGAGTCGAAGTCTGGAGCTAAGTCGACTAGCGACCGGTCGCCAGCTATTTGCGACCGGTCGTTTTCAGGCAGAGTCGAAGTCTGGAGCTAAGTCGACTAGCGACCGGTCGCCAGCTATTTGCGACCGGTCGTTTTCAGGCAGAGTCGAGGCCTGGAGCGAAATCTTCTTGCGACCGGTCGCCCGACACATGCTGTTTCGAGTTTGCACTGTTTCTCAACAGTTTCTTTAGTGTGCTATCGTTTACTATCCACTTGCAAGGATATTTTAAGTCACTTCTGACTTAAATGAAAGGTGGCAAGTTGCTGGGAAGTAAGGAGAGCAACTTAAGGAAAGATGTTGGCTTGTTTCAAGGTGTTCCTACCTTTATTGGGTAGCTGAACTTGTAGCTGTCATTATCAAGCCCTTTGCCTGGCCAAGGTGTGATCTACTTCAGTAAAACAAGGGCAGAACGTGGGAAGATGTGATGAGGCTTTTCTCAAGTGCAAGGGGTTGTGTATTTGAGATAGAGAGGAAGCAAGATAGCAAAGGGAGAGGCAAAGTAGCTGGAAACTAGTGAGTCAAGTAGAAGAGAGAGTTCTCAAGTGTATCAAGGTGTTGAGCAAGGGTGAGAGAGAAACAGATTGTGAGGGTAGTGTTCTAAGGGGGTTTTCAATTGTAAACCAAAGTTGTAACCTATCTTCATTAGTGAAATTTCTCAAGGGGATCACCAAGAGGATGTAGGCAAAATTTGCTGAACCTCTATAAACACTTGTGTCATTTGTGCTTGGTTATTTTCTGTGTGTGTGTAAGACTCATCCATCATTGAGTCTTGTCCAAAGTCCATCAACAACAAAGGTCTAAAGGGGAGTGAATTGGTCTTAATTCACAACAATAAGAGCTTAGAAAATGTGATCAAAGAAAGAATGGATTCTGTAGAGGTGATTAAATTGATCTTAGAAAGCTTAAGTTTGAGATGAAGAAATGTGAGTAGCAGAGGTGGTATATTTATAGAGAATGAGGCTGATGGTTTGGCTAGAACAAAAAGAGCTTTGGCAAAGTTCAGTGCATGTTTCCATTGTGGAAAGGAAATCATGATTTTGAGTTTCTTGAATAATTAATCAGTCAAGGAAGCCGCTCTAAAAGTTTATTCAAAAGTTTATTCAGCATGTATCCAACATATAACAGTGGTTACAGTAGCGCGCTCAGAAGAGTCGTTTACATGAACGTAAATAAATTGTTAATTGTTAAGCAATGTGAGTTTATGGTAAATTTCACATGCATCAATAATCATCTACGTATAATAATAATTTTTATTTAGCAATCGAACCATTTTTTTCAAATAGGGCGGTGCCTAATACCCAATTGATCAAAAGTTGGAATCAGAAACTTTTCAAAGAAGTAAATTCCAGATTTCCAAGTATGGTTGTCCCTACGTACGTACCTCACAACTAGTATATGCACTTCCAGAACTTCAAACTTCAAATTAGGATGACTTGACTTGCATTTCAACATGGGCTCCAACATCAATGGGTCAACAATTGATTGCACATAGTTTTCCTTTTGGGGGTTTTCACATCTTCAAATTGAAATGGCTCAAAATATTTAATTTAGAAACAAGTCTTATGCTCTTATCCATTGATACACAGTCCGCGTTTATTAACTTATTTATTTAACACAGGCCAATGACCATGTCGGTTGTAAATATACATAACAGTAGACTAAAAAAAAAATCATGTCAACAGGTCTAGTCCAGTGAAAAAGGGCCTTCACTTGATTTATGGACTAGTGGTCTTAGGTTTCGAATCACCATGACACCTTAGAGCATTTCCACCCATTTACCATGGCAAAAGGCAAGGGGAGGCAAGGGGGGTAAGGGATGTTACTATTCACATGAATAGTATTTGCCCTAGCAATTTTTTTATTGGTTTTCCACCTATTGCCATGGCAATCCAAAGGCAATTACTATTCACATGAGATATGAGAAGAGAAATTTGTATAGAATTTTGGTGTGAGAAGTGAAGAATATGGCTAGGTATTCATAATAAATAAAAAATCTGAAATTTTTTCTTTTTTCAATTTTTTTATTTAAATTGGATGCTGACATCACAATAATGTCATCATTTAGTCATCTTGCCCAGGCTTCTTCAAGCGCTAGCCACGGGAAATGTGATTGGGGGCCTAGGGGGCCTCTTGCTCGGGCTAACCCCTCCCGCTGGAAATGCCCTTAATTGTGTGTGAATGAGAAATCCCCCTCACCGGAAATTGTTCACTCAGAAATCCAGCATTCATCAAACATCAACACAGAAAACACAGTGACCCAAAAATCCACAATTGGGAAAAACTGGAGTCATCAATCCGACTAGACCCCTTAAAGAATTTATTAAAAGACCCACTTAATAAACCAGCAAGAGACATCCACATTACATATGTATGGTCAGATAAACTAAATTATTGCCAACTTGCTTAAATAATATGATTCATTCGTACTTGTGTGTATATATCTAGTCTTAATCGGTGCAGCCCAAGAGTGGTTTCAAATTTTAATAGCCAACAAAGAACTAAGTTGTTTCTTTGAACCATCATATATATGGAGTCAGAGACACTGTCAATTTGCTACTATATTGTTACCGAATATGCTCAGCCAAAGCACTCATTTCATGCACATGGAAATTTTTAACTTTTATCAAACAATAGGCAAAAAATAATTGAGGTTAGTCCACCTCGTGGATTAATTGGAATTTTAAATTCAATTTGCAGATGGCCCTTCCATTGACTAAATTACAAAATTCCTTTGTACAAAAGTAATGGCTCCCACGTCACAACGAATACAACCAATTAAACAATTACAAACTTGCATAAACCTTTTGATCACTTGGTTCCTATAAATACCATACCTCCTCCTCACTTCTTCACAACCCAAAATCTCCGACTTAATTACATCATCTTTCTTAGCCTTCCCTCTCCATCAATTATTTTTTTCTCACTTCCCAAACACTTTTTACAGAATCATGGGTGTGTTCACATATGAAACCGAGATCAACTCTGTCATCCCCCCTGCTAGGTTGTTCAATGCCTTTGTTCTTGATGCTGACAACCTCGTCCCAAAAATTGCACCACAGGCAGTAAAGAGCACCGAGATCCTTGAAGGAGATGGAGGCGTTGGAACCATCAAGAAAATTAACTTTGGTGAAGGTAAGTTTAGAGTTTTTTTTTTCTTCTGGTTTGTTATAATAATGTTACAGAAATATTGTTTTGGGGTCATCTTATCTCATAACAGAAAGATTCATCTGGTATATATGTATATATTTGTGCAGGTAGCACTTACAGCTATGTGAAGCACAGAATTGATGGGATTGACAAAGAGAACTTCGTGTACAAGTACAGTGTGATTGAAGGAGATGCAATCTCTGAGACAATTGAGAAGATCTCATATGAGACTAAGTTGGTGGCATCTGGCAGTGGTTCTGTCGTCAAGAGCACCAGCCACTACCACACAAAGGGTGATTTTGAGATCAAGGAAGAGCATGTTAAGGCTGGCAAAGAGAAGGCCTCCCACCTCTTCAAGCTCATTGAGAACTACCTCTTGGAACACCATGATGCCTACAACTAAATTTTCATAGCTGTATTATTCAATCTTATGTCCTCTTTGGCATTCTCTTTGTTCTTTTTCCTTCGAAAATGGTGTTTGGCTTGTGCTTGGAGCTTTTGATTGAAGAGTGAATGTTGTATTTCCTTTCATTTGCAATAAATAAAATGAAATTATGGATTTTATGATATTTGCAAGGTTTTTTTAATGATATTTGCATATGCCAATTACCAAAAGATTGTGATAATTTATATAATAAATGGATATCATACCAAATAATCAATTTAAAGTATATCTTCAACTTGACCAAAAACAAAGAATTATATTTTCTACCTACATGAGTTGATCGAACAACTATAAAAGAAGGTCTATGTCAATTAGCAAATCTTGTAATAAATGATATAAAAGCATCTCCAGCAGAGTTGCTATACTATTGTTTTTAGGCATTTTAACTAGAATGAGGGCAAAACACACCTCTAACAGACTTACCATATGGCTCTCTATTTTGAAGAACTCCTTATTTGAGTTTGGTTGTTCTCTATATTTAGAGAGGAGGAGAGAGAAATTGAGAGTTCTCTATTTCTTCCTCGTGTCTTTTCCTCGGCCCACAACCCTCTCTCACCTCTTACTTTTTGATTTTTCAATGAACTTTTAATTTAGAGAAGAGAAGAGAAAAATAATAAAATATTAGAGATTAGTCAAAATAGAGAAAATTGATGGAGAAAACACTTTTTAAGTAGTTTGCTATCATTGCTTTCTAGCTATGCGTTGGCGGAACCACTACGTGGGCTGCCATGGGCTGTAGCCCAGGGAAGGTTCTGGGAGAAAAAAATATTACACCTATATACACTAGTATCTTAACCTTAAAATAAATTAAAAATATATACAATTTCATACCTTACCAATACCAATAGGCATAGTCAGAGCATGTTATTGACTCAACCACAAATCTGTTGAATGAAGGTAGCTTGCTAACTCTCAACCACTAGTTAGAAGGAAATTCCTTGACTTCGCTTATGTCCTTATGGCTATGGCCCTTATGCAGTACAGGAGTCTCACCCTCTTTCAGGTTATTCAAAGAGTTACTATTTCAATGGCTAAAGTGAATGCTACTCCTTTCTAATTCAAACAAAAAGAAAGGCATGAAATGCCATTGTCACTGCCATACCTTCTAGTCAATTCTCACACATTCAGCACTGCCACATTTGTATTTGGTGTCAAAATTTGTCCCAACATCAATTTTAATTTATTTTTTTTTCATTAATTTATCTCTAAAAGAGAAGCATTTTTCTAAATGAAATTCACCCTTTTGTGAATAATATGGCTCTAATTCGATTTTTTCTTGTGTTTAGTTTATAAGATTTAATGTATATACTTTTATTTATAGAAAAAACTATAGAAACTATAAGTACCCAAAAAAAAAATATATCATTAGATTTTAAGCTAATAACTTTAGCTAATTCACTTATTGAAAAATTCATGATTCCGCCCTTGTAATTATGTTAGCTAAAATTTGACTAAAATTTGAATACTACACAACAAGACTAAAATTTGGCTCGATCGCTACACGACAAGGCATATGTTAACTACCAAAGGATCATAATAATTGTGGATCTCATTTTCCATGATCAATTTAAAGCATAATATTTCTAACTGCATGAGTTGACTTGATCACCATAAGACAAGGCATGTCGACTACCAAGGGATCACGGTAACTGATAGAACAAATGGATCTCATCTGTCACAAAATCTGATCAATTTAAAGCGTCATATTTATAACTACATGAGCTGACCTAATCACCACATGATAAGTTATATGTCAATTACTAAAGGATCATAATGAATGATATAACAAATGAATCTCGTCTGACCCAGAATACAATCAACCAGTGGCGGATCCAGGATTCAAAAGTCAGGTAGGCGAAACTTACCTTAAAAACTTGACGGTACGAGTGAATTTCATTCATAAAAATAAAAAGATACACCTAGTCAGGGGGACGTAATGAGCCTTACCCTCAAATATGAATCTCTATACATAAATAAAAGCTTAACTAAAAAAAACTATAAAAAAAACAAATAAATGCATTGCAACACAAAACTAAACTATTTAAATCTAAAAGAGAAGGGGCTATCCACAATTGCACAACTTGACTATTGCACAACCAAGACTGTCGACTCGAGAAGAAGTTGCCGAAACTGTCTGGAATTGCACAGTCAAAAGCTCTTTGGCTGCTTAGAGCATCTCCAAGGGAGATGTCAAATACCAAACATCAAATTTAAATTTGATGGCTGATGTGGCAATTTGACATCTTACACAGCTTTACACTCCACCCGATATGTCAAATTAAATTATTATTTTATTACATTTTAGTGTTGATTTATTTTTAATTAAAAAGAATAGAAAAGAAAAAATAATAAAATATTCATTTGACATCTTGGTTTTGGGATGTCAAAAATAACATCTCAATCTTCAACCTTCATTCCACATCAGCTTTGACACATCGGTTGGAGTGTGTGAGATGTTATTTCTAGCTGTTAAATGTCTATGTGGCACTTTTGACATATCGGTTGGAGATGCTCTTACAAATTAAGTTCCCCCTTTTTTTAAAGTTTGACTAGGCCATAACACATGTGGGTAGTTTTACATGGGTTGGGTAGGCAAAGGTTTACACTATCACATGTGATGGCTAGAAATAACCTTGTTTATATATAGGTTTTTTTTTTTAGTCAAAAAATTTGGGGTAGGCAACTGCCTACCCTGCCCTAGCTGTAGAACCGCCACCGCAATCAAATCAACTAACTGTATCATGCAATTGCAAGTAATATTGTTGTTTCTTAAGAAAGCTTAATTTTCTAGGAGGAAAGTTTTAACAAAAATCAAAGAAACCCTAGGAGCCGCCGCCCCCTTTGGGGTCGATGGCTTCCCATCCCCCCTTCCCTTCTCCTCCCCCCTTGTCCCTATTTTCCTCTTGCTCTTTTGTTTTTTGTTTTTCTTTTTCACAGCAAAGCATATGGTAGAGAGTGGAGGAGATAGAACAAGACGCTTCATATCTAGGGTTTATTCCCCATCAGATTTTCAGTACTCTCTCGCGCCATGGCAGATCATGACGCTCTTCTCTTCTCTCCTCTTGGTAGATATGGCTGTCTCTGTTATGGATCTTGATGGTTTTGGTTGTGCATCATTTGTAGAGCAAAGTGTTTCTGCTCCTTTAGTCTGTGTTGTTTGGTTTCTTAGATTTTGTGTAGTTTGGTATTAAAGTCCAGAAACTCTATAAGTTGTCTGGTTTTCTCTTGTAATTCCCAAAAATTTTGTTGAATTTGCGAGTTGGTCTAGTTTCTCTAGAGTTATGTCGGTGGCCAAGTTTTGTCCTTGATGTAATTGACCTAAGACAACTTAGACGGTAGATAGGGGTTTTTAGACAAGTTCTTTGTGATTTATTCTCTCCAAGTCATTTCCTCTCTAGAGCTGACTTTGGTAATTGGGAAACTTTACCCATATCCGTCGTATTGCTAATCGAGATGGCTCCCTATGTACTTTTTTAATTGATCTAATAAAATGCTATCGCTTGTTTGGTTTTAAAAAAAATGTATCAGCAATCTGATTTCTTTATTATTGTAAGCCACTTGTCAATTCTCATAAATACCCCCATGAGTTCTAAAAGCCTTAAGTTCATAGACGACTGATTCAAGCTTTTGTCACCAGTACAGAATACAACGACCATCAAACTCGATAGAATTATACTTTGCCTATACCTCTATGTATTCGCTAAGAAATGAGGGGCAATCAAGTCCTTTAACGGGTCGGGTCAAGGCCCACTAGACCCAGCTAAATTGGGCTGGTTCAGGCCCACCCACTTGCCCTGAAGATCGCATCTGAAAGTAGATTCGCAGAATCAGGGAGCGTAGAGACTATACATTCCAGTTTCCACTTCGGAGCTGGACAAGTCCGTCAATCTCGAACAGGGAAGGACATTATCGTAATTGCGCATCCAGCATATATAGAAAGCTCTTCTGGAGCAAACCCACAAGACCACAAGTTCTTCTGGACTCTTCGCTTTCCCTCAAAAACCCCTTTCAGCTCTCGTCTGCTCAAAACCATACTCTCGAAACAGTTTCGCCTCGATACGACACCGTATACTGGTTTTATTTTTAGGCAATGTCAGGCTACGGCGGCGTCTCGATCGGTCGGACTCGGGGTGAGAACCGGTTCTACAACCCGCCAGCGATACGACAACGACAGCAGCAGCAGCGACAAAAGCTAGAGCAGGAGAAGCATCAAAGGCAGTCTGTGGAGTCCGACGACTGTGCGACGTCGCACAGTTCCGGGTCGGGTCGGGCAGTGCTCACCGATGCCACGAATTTGGATCGGTTCTTGGAGTACACCACGCCCGTGGTTCAGGCTCAGTATATCCCCAAGGTATTGCAAAATCATCATGAAATATAGAAGAAAAATCATTACTTGTGTTATGGGCTGTGAGGCTGCTAGAAAATAATGGTTAATTGGACTCAAACAACCTAGATTATGGAAATTTAGGCGAGGAATTGTGTATATTTGTGTGGCATTGCTGAGAATTTTCAAATTGGTTATCTGTATCACTTCTAAACACTCCAAATTGAGCTCAATACAACTTTATCTGTCAAACTTTAGTTAAAGTTTTCTACTTGAAGAATCATACGTATTGGGTTTTCAATTTTATATGGCAATTTCCTGTTGTGGGTTTGGTGTGTTGTTACTGTAATTGTACATGCGTTTCTCATGAGGTCCCATTTTGGTGATGGATAGACAAGCGTGAGGAGATGGAGGACTCATGAGCCAGAGTTGCATCCCTACTTTGTTCTTGGAGATTTATGGGAGTCTTTCAAGGAGTGGAGTGCGTACGGCGCAGGTGTCCCGCTTTTATTAAATGGGAGTGACTCTGTTATCCAGTACTATGTTCCTTATTTGTCTGCTATTCAGCTCTATGTAGACCCATCAAAGCCCTCCACAAGAATAAGGTCAGCAATATCGTAAACACAACACTTTCAATCAATTCAGTCTGTGTGATTTTTCTACTTAAGCACTCTGGATTATAGTTTATGTTTGTAGTTGCTAAACTCTGTGCAATGTTCATGCTTTAATGTTACTGTTCATCCTTTATTGTGTCTGGTTTATGGG